TCACGGGTGTTTGGAGGGTGTTTTCTCACAGGTGTTTGGAGGGTGTTCTCACGGGTGTTTGGAGGGTGTTCTCTCACGGGTGTTTGGAGGGTGTTCTCTCACGGGTGTTTGGAGGGTGTTCTCTCACGGGTGTTTGAAGGGTGTTCTCTCACAGGTGTTTGGAGGGTGTTCTCTCATGGGTGTTTGGAGGATGTTTGTTTGGAGGGTGTTCTCTCACGGGTGTTTGGAGGGTGTTCTCTCACGGGTGTTTGGAGGGTGTTCTCTCACGGGTGTTTGGAGGGTGTTTTCTCACAGGTGTTTGGAGGGTGTTCTCTCACAGGTGTTTGGAGGGTGTTCTCTCACGGGTGTTTGTTTGGAGGGTGTTCTCTCACGGGTGTTTGTTTGGAGGGTGTGCTCTCGTTTTGGAAGCTTTCCCCAAATCCTTCTTGACGTTTTCTTGTCACGGGTCCTTCGACCTAGGAGCAGCGTTAGGGTCCAGCTGCTGTAGTAAGGAAGGTCAGGATTCAGACATTAGTTCCAGTGCTTTCCATCCCATTTGTTACCACTGACACACTCTTTGTTGCACTCTGGATGAAAGAGGAAATGTGCCGGTTAAGACCAGAGTTGTGATGTGTGCTGTTGTGAAGTGGACCTCTGGTGGCTTCTTGTGTACCGTCGAGTCGGAGTGGACCCACAGCTGACCTTCCGACAGGTTCTCAGAGGCAGTAAGCCCCACGGGAGGACAGTGCCCATCCTCCTGCAGAGCCGCTGCTGGGTTTGAACTGGCGTCCTCAGGATTCCAGCACAGCTTCCTCACACTAGGCCTCCAGAGCTTTGCAGCACTGTCAGTGCAGAGGTACGCAGTTCAAGTCCGCCGTGGGAGGAAGATGGCAGTCGTCTCCTGTACGCTTCACTGCGTCTGCACACCGGCCGGAGGCTCAGCCGTGGGTCTGTGCGACTCGACAGTGCACACCAGCTGTGAACTGGGGAGACCTGCTTCCTTCCAGGTTCCTGAGAGGCAGCCCGTGTGCCGCAGTTGCCTCCCTCATGACCCGGTACCACCTGTGCTTTCAGGGTGCCTCCGCTGGGCGGCGCCGACGAGTCCCGCAAGAGCTGCACCGTCGGGATGGTCACGGTGATCCTCACGCTGCTGTCCTCGGCCTGGTTCCCCCTCGACCTGTCCGCCCATCAGGACGCCCTTACCCTAGCCGGAAACTTGCTCGCAGGTACTGGGCACACGCTGAAATGGGCTCCAGGTTCTAAGCTTTGTCCTTCAGTCACGGAATCTGGGTCGGACAGTGGATGGAGGAAAGTTTGCGAGGTCACTGCCAAGGGGAGTCCGTTCTTCTGGGGGCAGTTCTGACGTCAGCTGTATGCGTCATTACCGGTTACCGTCACTTGATGCCAACTCATGGTGCCCTTGGTACGTAGACGCACAGCTTCTGAGGTTCCTCACGTGGTGGTGTTTATACAGATTGTAGGCTGAGAGCAAGAGCGCAGCAGACAGAGCACGTGGTGTGTACAGAGGTCGGGGCCAGGAACACGCTGGCTCTGGGGTCACATGCGTGTACAGAGGCCGAGGACAGGAACACGCAGGCTCTGGGGCTCTGGGGTCACATGCATGTACGGAGGCCGGGGACAGGAACACGCTGGCTCTGGGGTCACATGCATGTACAGAGGCCGGGGACAGGAACACGCTGGCTCTGGGGCTCTGGGGTCACATGCATGTACAGAGGTCGGGGACAGGAACACGCTGGCTCTGGGGTCACATGCGTGTACGGAGGCCGAGGACAGGAACACACTGGCTCTGGGGTCACGTGGTGTATACAGAGGCCAAGAACAGGAACACACTGGCTCTGGGGTCACATGCATGTACAGAGGCCGAGAACAGGAACACGCTGGCTCTGGGGTCACATGCGTGTACGGAGGCCGGGGACAGGAACACGCTGGCTCTGGGGGTCACGTGGTGTGTACAGAGGTCGGGGACAGGAACACGCCGGCTCTGGGGTCACATGCGTGTACGGAGGCCGAGGACAGGAACACACTGGCTCTGGGGCTCTGGGGTCACATGCATGTACAGAGGCCGGGGACAGGAACACGCTGGCTCTGGGGTCACATGCATGTACAGAGGCCGAGGACAGGAACACACTGGCTCTGGGGTCACGTGGTGTATACAGAGGCCGAGGACAGGAACACGCTGGCTCTGGGGTCACATGCGTGTACGGAGGCCGGGGATGGGAAGATGCTGGCTCTGGGGGTCATCACATGGCTTGGAGACTGCATTAGCCTCTGGTTTTGGGAAACAGTGGTCATCTTGGGGCCATGTTGGACGAGGACTAGGTTGGGGACTGTGGCTGGTGGGGAAAGTCCACCTTTCTGAGTGTGTGTGGGGAGGGGACATCTTTTCTGTCTCTGTTGTGAAGTCTGGACCGGGTTGTTCAGAGGCCGTTTAAAGTCGAGTGAATGTTGAGAAGCTCGCTTGTTTGACTGGCTGTGGTGGGGGTAAGGGACTCTGAGGCTGGCGTCCTCTGAAGGGAGAAGGCAGAGTCACTCGGGGGCCGTCCCGACGACACGCATCTCTAAGCAGCACCTGCCTGGAGAGCTCCCACCTCAGGCTGTGAGACCCTTGGAGCTTGACTAGCCTAACCTGGACCACCTGGAATGATTGGTTGGAACTTAGGGGAGGAGTGAGTGAAAGAGCCTTAGAGACAGAATCGACATCTCGGTCACCAGCTAAACTTCACCTTGAGCATCAGGAAGGGGTCAAGAGTGGCTGTCCCATAGTGAATGGGTACGTGATGGTGACAGCCATGGAGACTGGGCGCACAGATTTTGGGGACAGAATTGGAAGTTTGGGGGAGCCTCAGGTGGCGCTGTCCAGGGTCTCATCCTAGATGAGGTGTAGGGCTCTGTTTCTTAATCTGCTTCCTGTTGACATGCCCTGGAGATGACGAGGTGATGTCTGTGCCCTCTTACAGCCAGTGCCCCCAGGTCTCTGAGGAGCTCCTGGAGCACCGAAGAAGAGGCCAGCACAGCCGCCACCAGGCAGGAAGAGGCCTGGCCGGCTCTGGGGGACCGCAGCCTGGTGCCCATGGTAGAGCAGCTCTTCTCGCACCTGCTGAAGGTGATCAACATCTGCGCCCACGTCCTGGACGACGTGGCCCCTGGACCAGCCGTCAAGGTAACTGCTCTCAGCCAGCGGTCCTGTGTGCCTGGCTGCTCATGTCCTGTTGTCATCAGCAGTCTTTTGTTCTGATGAGTTACCGTCCTTCTCAGAGGGCCGTGGGATCTGGATGCTGGGGGCCCGAGGGGGTTCGTGAAGTCACGGCTTTGAGTAACTCCTTCCACGGCTTCTCCTGGTCGCTTTGTTGACTGAGCAGTGTTGCTGTTCTGGGTCCAGTGTCGGTACTCTCAGCTTGTCAGCAGATATCACAGTGGGCACATTGAGCTCAAGGTAGACCAGCCGGCGTCCCGCCGTGTCTGATGGTCCTCTTGCCTGTGTGCCCACCTGGAGGAAGCCCCCTGGCACTCTGCCCCGTTTGCTTCCGTTCTGTCCACGACCGACTTCGGGAAGCCGTGTCTCTGCGGCTCAGAGCCGAGTGCCTCTCCAGCCTGAGCTCGGTTTCTGCTGTCCTGGCCCCCAGCCCTCCTCCTGCCTCGTGCCTCCACCAGGCTGCTGGGGCGTCCGGGCCCCTGTCACTCTCTGTAGCCGTCTGGCCGGCCACTCCCGTCTCAGGCCCTCCCTTCCACTTGCTTCCATGCTGTGCTCTTTGTCTACCTTTTGCTGTTCCCTCATCACTGTCCAGCCTTGGCCTCTGCTGCTCACCCAGCATGTCCTGGGATCTGACCATGGCCCGATTCTTCTCTGCTGTCTGGGCCAGCTCTGCCCAGTGGCGCTTTCACAGATGGGGCGTCCGTGTCTGCGCTGTCCAGGGCAGGGACTGTGCACCGCACAAGGTGGGAGGCTGTTGAGCATGGGACGTGTGTGACGGGCTGTGGAGACACTGAACGCTGGCTTGCTTGTCGGGACTTCACATTTAGATTTCAGTGGCTCCACAGGTGAAGTGCAGGGATCCATCTGCCAAGGAGCGCTGACCCCGTGCCCACCACCCTCATGCTCGTTCTGAGTGTAGAGCCCCAGCTGCTGTTCAGTGCCCATCCCTGGCCCGGCCACCAGTGGGATGCTTATGTGCTGGGCCAAAGCAGACTGTCCCAGCGGCTTGCAGCACCTCTGCCACCCAGGCTCTGCTCCCCTTCCCCTCCCGGCCTGCGTGCCCCCCCTTGCTTGTCCAGCCTGTGCACCCCATCCCCACCCCACCTGTGCACAAACCTGTGTGCAAACCTGTGCGCCCCATCCCCACCCCACCTGTGCGCAAAACCCCCACCAAACCAGTGCACCCCATCCCCACCCCACCTGTGCGCCCCATCCCCGCCCGGTCTGTGCTTGCCTTTCCCACCCAACCTGACCTACTTGCCCCCTTCCCCCGCCCGGCCTGTGTGCCACTTCCCGACTCAACCCGGGCTGCTTGCCCCCTTTCCTGTCTTACCCACTCGCCCCTCCATCGCCCGACCTGTGCTCCCTTTCCCTGCCTGACCTATGCCCTCTTCACCACCTGGCCTGTGCACCCTTTCCCACTTCGACCGAAGCAGCAGTGTGTGTCAGCAGTCAGGGTCCCAGCTTTGCCCCCCTCAGCTGGCTTAAAGTGTTAAACCAGATGAGAGAGACAGGAGGGATTGGTGCCCAAGCTGCCACGGTCCCTTGAGGGAGCTGGCTTCAGTGCACGATGTGGGGGCCCTAAGAGGACCAGTTTTAGTGGACAGCATGGGGGCCTTAAGAAGGGCCATTGTTATCCTGCTCAGAGTAGACCTTGTTGGCACTCAAGGTCAAGAGAAAAGGCAGAGAGCCAGCGGTAACGGGGAAAGGAAGACAGGCTTGGTAAAGGTGCTCCTGATTGCTGAGCGCGCTCCTGGTGATGTTCCCCGACCGTGGGCCGTGGGACTGCAGGTGGAGACAACATGGAGAGGTCAGAGTGTGCTGGGCCCTTCTTATCTCAGCCTGGGGACCTGAATGTCACTCGCGAGGGCTTTAGGAGGGGGTCACCCTTTCTAGGCAGGTCAGAGCCCAGGCCTAATGCCGTCTGCTTCTGTGTTACCAGACGTGAGCTTCTGCCTCGCTTACCTCATTGGGTTTGGTCCTAATGTTACCTGCAGCCAGTCCCGTACCCACCTCTGACCTTAACGTGAACAGCAGTATTTACCACGCTGGAGACGTGGGCCTCCTCCCAGTGCCTCGTTTTTAACCACCACGTCCCCCTCCTCCCCGTAGTTTTCTCTCCACATGCGTTGCAAATACAATACATACGTGTGTGTGTTTGCGCCAGCGTTCTTCGTCCATCTGTCGTCCACCTGTCACTGGTTTCTGAAGCGTGCAGTGGTGTGCTTTCAGGATAGTCCGAGTTGTCCAGCTTCAGCACCCAGAGAGGTGCCCTGCACCTCGCACTGTCCCCGCCCCGTCCCTCCGGCCTGTACAACCACTCGTCCATCTGTCTCTGATTGGTGCCTTCTGGACGCGTCACGTCCGTGGGGTCATACACTCGGTGGTCCTTCGAGTCCTGCTCCCCCTCCAGTGTCCATGGGCCGTCACCTGTTAGCTGGTGCCGCTGTCTTACCTCATCCACGTCCACTCCCTCCCCCGTGCGGTGGCTTCATCCCCATTCTTTCGCCTGTTCTGTGGTCCAGGCTCAGGTCCAGGAGGTGACTTGCCTGGGGCCACATGGTTGGGCAGTGACAGGGCTGGCACTTCTGCACGCTGCTGGGGCCTGAGTCCTCGTAGGAGTGTGGGCTCTGGGACCCCCTGGACTCGCTGCCTTCCAGCCCTGCTGCTTGTGGGCAGTGAGCCCATTTCCTCCTCTGGACACAGTGCTCTGTGCCCTCGCTCACGTCCTGGCACAGCTGGACCTCACTTTCTGCCTGTTAATGACCTCGCTGTAGCCCAGCCGCCTCAGGCCCCTGGACCCCACTTCCCCCTGACACTGACCATGCTGCAGCCCAGCCGCCTCAGGCCCCCGTGGCTCCCGAGCCCCCTTCCTGTGGGACTTTTAGGAAGCTCTGGGTCCCGCACTGCTGTGTACGGTTGTCACGTGAGTGACCGTGGGTGATGAGTGGACGGAACCGGCCAGCCAGGCCCCTCACGGCGGACGGTAGAATCAGGCAGCACGGGCCTTGGTGTCGGGTTTGCGTCTCCACTCACACTTCTCCTTTTCTGTTAGGCAGCTCTGCCTTCTCTCACGAACCCCCCTTCTCTAAGCCCAATTCGACGGAAGGGAAAGGAGAAGGAAGCGGGGGAGCAGGTCGCTGTGCCGCTGAGCCCCAAGAAGGGCCCCGAGGCTGGTCCAGGTAAGAACACAGCGGGAGGAGTGTGCAGAGATGTGTGCATCAGGAGGCATGTCAGACCTCAGGGTTTGTGCAGAAGGATAGGGCAGTGAAGCCTGGGAGACAGTCGCTGGCTGTGGCTTCAGACCTGCTGGGGACAGCTCCCCACAGCACCCAGCACACCGTTGTCCTGGGCACGGTCTCCCACCCCCATGGCACCTGAAATAGCCCCCCACCTCCACACCACTGGGGACGTGGTCATCCTGGGGACAGCCCCCCACCGCACCTAAGGACACAGTTGTCCTGGGCACGTCCCCCCCCCATAGGCATGCGGTCCTCCTGGGACTGTCCCCATGGCACCCGGGCACACGGTCATCCCGGGGACAGCCCCGCACGGCACTCAGGGCCACCGCGCCTTGGGCATCCTGTGTCTCAGCTGTTCGGGCCCGTTCTCTGAGCTCCCGGTCGCGCAGCAGGAGGGTTGCCCGTGTTAGCAGATCGCTTACAGACATGAGTTGTTCAGAATGTGGCTGAGAGTCTGTCCTAGGAATCAGATAAACCAGCGAAGGTGCTGAGAACAGCCTTCAAACGCAGGAGCGGAGCAGCTGCTGGGCTGCCAGCACGGCTGCAGCGACTGTCTGCACTCCCTGCAGCTTCTGGAACGTTCTCTGTCATCTCTCGGATTGCTGATCGAGCTCAGCGAGCGAGTGGCCTGGGGTTGTCCCTGTCGGCCCCCGGCCTGCAGCACATCGAGTCTCCTCTCCCATTGGCCGGGGTCTTTGAGGGGAGGGTGCTCACATCCTCTCTGTGCTTTTTAGTCAGTTTCTTAGATTTCCAGTTACTCAGAAAGGCTGGGACATTATTCTCCTGAAAGAATTTAAAAATCTTTACCGCTGATGTTTGATTCTGGGCACGTTTCCCTTTGGATCTGAAAGTTGATATGTGTATGTGTGTGTTTCCATCTGTAGCTTCCCGACAGCCCGATACCCCAGGGCCGGCTACAACGAGTAAGTCCTCCACACTGGGGGGTTTCTACCACCTTCCTTCATACCTCAAGCTGTACGAAGTCCTGAAGGCCACGCACACCAACTACAAGGTATGGGCCCTCGAGTCTGTGAGTACCT